TTTTTTTTTTTTTTAAATAGGTCCCAGATAGTAAATATTTGAGCACCATAAAATCTCTTATCGCACTGTAGATCACTAAACAGGACAATGGAGGGATGGGTGTGGCTTGGTGGTGTTTCATTCCTGTCTATGGGACGGGTTGTGCTGGGTTGGCCTGTAGGCATTAGTTGAATACTCAGTTTAGACTTCCCATTGAGGCCTACAAATGCCCCTAGTGTTTACACCTTTTCCCTCGTGGGCGAATTCCTGTGAGACACAATCTTCTCTGCAAGGATAGTATCTTCAGTATTTATAGTTATTTTTTATCTGTTAAGATGCCAATGTAATGTATATGGTGTTTATTTTTTTCCAAAGCACACTAAAATAAGAACAACATTTAACTTTGAGACCATAATGTCTTTTCAGTTTTTATGTTTTTACCGTGTTTGTTTGTTTGTTTTCTTTCTTTCTCTCTCTTTTTCTAAATCTGACTCATTTTCCTTTCATCTTTAAGTTATTTTGTTTATTACAGGATTATAAGAATAAAATTCTGGTACAAAAATAATTTAGTATTAATTCCTTGTTGGCAGAGTCGCTGAGCCTGGGAGAGTGCCAGCCGTGACTTGTGTTTGGCCGGCCCTGGCTAGACTGAGGGTCAGAAGACGTGGTGGGGTCTCATGGCGCTTTTCTCTTTGCTGTTGTTCTGTTTTTAGAAGGATGGTTTTTACACTGGGTTGTCTTAGGTTAAAAGTTTGCTTTTTTTTTTTTTTTTTAAAACAAAATCCCTGTTTTTACAGCTTTAAAACGGTGTTCATTATTAGCTAGTAAATTAAATATGATCCTTTGATTCAGTTGGGGACAATAATTTAAAAAAATCAGTGACTCAAAAGCCACCCTCTAGAAATTGTGATTTGTGGTAGCATTCTTTATTTTGTAAATACAGTAATTACTAGTAATGCTTAGTCCTGGGCCAAAAACTAGGACTCTACATAAAAGTCGGACGATGTTTGTTGAATTCAGTTAAAAGCCTTCAGACAAAGAGAGCAGTGATGTAGACACAGATGATAGATTTACTGATAAGCCCTTGAAAAATTGAGCAAATAGTTGTATACTGAAGCACAAAGATGTGTGCTGTGTGTGTGTGTGAGGTAGAAAAGGGAGGGCTGAGCACATTTCCTCACCGTGCCTGTGAGATGCTGTTTGTCTCTCTTTGGTCCTTACACAGAGCATTTGTGGTTATCTGGACCATTTATTACAGTAAGTGATGTTAGTGTCTTTAGAAAGGCAGGTTCTCTGTGGTTCATATGAGGAGCAGTGAGTTCATTTTCCCAGGCATCGGCCACATGGTATAGCTTCACCCAGATACCACTTTTTAAATGGACAATTCAGAAAAAGAAAAATCACTATCTAGAATTATTAGAAATTATTTGGCGATAAACAGATTTAAAACCTTTATGTATTAGTAATTGGTTTTTCTCAGTAGAAGACGTTGGGCCTTGTTTGGAACCGTCTTTTTATTTATTATTTATTTAAGTAGAAGTTGTCTCGTGTGGCTACTCAGATGCTCATTGAGAGCCAGCCTTTGCACACGCAAGCATGTGTGTATTTTTCAGTGGTCATACTTAAAAATCACATGCACGCGCCCACACGCAGCTGCATTTAGTTCAGTGATTATACATTCATATGAATGCATGTAGTGTGTTTATTTCAGAGTGTATGCATTTCAATAAAAGCAGGTGCAGAGTGAGAGTAGGGTGTGAGTGTGGAGCACGAAAATACACATGCTGATGCATATGTAGCGACAAGAGCTGTGCAGTGGCATGCCACAGCTCAAGTTGGTGTGCTCTTACTTCAGTTCCAGCCCGGGTTCAGACATTACTGTGAAATATGTGCATAGGAAGTCAGGTTCTGCTGTGGTAGAGAAAGACACTGCACCCTAGGCAGAGTACGGTAAGACATGGGTGTAATAGGTGGCATGGTTAGGAACTGAGAATTATTTTAATCATTGACAGCTCTGAGTAACTTTAAAACCCTGGATTTCCTGTTTTAACTCATGAGAACCCCCTCATCATCTAAACAGGGCTTCCCAGATTTAACCATAATCCTCTCGAGACTGTCACATATGACCTTAAAAAAGTCTGCCATTTCTGAAAAATTATGGTGAAATGGATATAATTACTTGTTTTAAGGAATTTCCCCTTTCTGAATGATGGGCATATGTTATTTAATTACTACAGAAGATCGTAGCTTTTAGCATATGCCACTCATTCAGTTATGTCTACTTGATGTCTTTTTAATGGAAACCTATGGCCAGGAGTGAATGCCAATGCTTCCGTACTTAAACTGTTCAGTTCACCTCTCTGTAGCACTGTCATTTAAAGGCTGTGACACCAGAAAGTGCATTTCTTTAAAAACTTAGATAAACCCAGAGTTTAACTCGAATCCTGCTCCGTGGCTCTTCTCCCTCGTCCTCCTCCCTCCCGTCTTTGGCACACTTTATTTTCCAGTAAAATAAAGAATGAAGATGGATTATTCAAAACTGATAACAGTAATGGACCGTCATATAATGTGTTATTGAATTTGAGTTCTGTGAATTATGTGGTGGAGAGAAATTCGCCTGCTTAAGTATAACAGAAATCGCTACTGTGTTCCTATAATTCTTCAGTGTAATTTAAGAAAAGTCCACTGTCCATATCACTATCGACTAAAAGGTAAAAAGGTACCATTAACTGGCGTGACAGCTCTCGATGAGCCTACCGAGGGACAGAGATGAATGTGTCTGCTTATAACTTGTTTGGCATGATTCCACGGGCAGGTGGAGTTTGAAAATAGTCTTTCACCTGGACATGTGATCAAGAACTCACCAAACAGGCAGGTAGCCTGGAGAATATTCTGTCTTTCTCTTTAGGAGAGAGGTTGCCTCAAATCATTTTTTTTTTCTTTCTGAGGGCTTTGAAGTTCCACGGAGCTGATAAAATCTATTTTAATCAGTGATTATGTTCAAAGAGGAGACAAGCTGGAGGCCAGGCAGGCTTTTTGTTCAGATTGGCCGTCTCTTCCACTTATCTGCTGTTTTAAAGAATTCATAATGAGCTTTTGGAAGTACTGATAATATTTATTGGAGGTTTTTTCTTTCTTTTATAATTACTAATGAATTTTACTTGTAATAACTTATATAACTCTTGTTGGAATGTGAAAAAGAGAGGTTTAGGAATTTATCAGTAAATGAATTCTTTAATTGAAAAAAAATCACAGTTCTCACTTAACCACTAAGTAGTGACAATGCAGAAAAATTTTATGTTTTCATATATACAACACACATCTAATTATTTGTAAGATGTGAAGTCCCAAGGAACAACAGCTTATTTCCAGTGACATTAATATTCATGACATGTTGGGAACTCCCTTCATAACATACAAGTTTTTGGATTCTTTTTAGAAACAAGGTTACTAATGATTTTACCTAATTTAGTTCAGTGAATTTTTTGAGCACCCATGGTACACAGAATGACTATAATTTGGTACTTCACCCAATTCTGTGATGTAACAGAGTGCATGGCCTTCACATACTATTTCTTTAGTATGATGGATTGTTTGGTAATTATATCTGTATCAGTCAGTCATGAAGAATTAATACAGATGACCTTGACCTTACCTGCCATGTCTGCACTTTATTTGAACTATATAAAACAGGAAAGGGTCTATATCTATATTGAATTCATCAGCCATTTAACAACCTGAACAGGTCCAGGACATGCACTCTAGTGTCTGAGTTCTAAAGGTAGTCATTTGCATCCAGATTATTCTACATTACTCTTAAGTAATTTTTAAAATTAACACTAATCATATGGTTTCTGACAATATTTTCAGGCATTTCCACCAGGGGGCACTCCCCTCATTGAAAGCTCTGGGCCAAAAAAAAAAAAAAAAAAAAAAATCTGAACGGGTAGACCGTCTACACTGGCTGCTTTAAAGCTCTTTGAATGTCTGGGTTTGGAACACTGTTGGAGAGTCAGCTTACTCCAGGCAGGAAGCTTGCATCCACTCCAAGGGGTGATTAAGTTTGGGGGAAGGGTTCTGCAGAAGCAGCTCCTATGCTCGAATGGAAAGGCGTGCTGACTTCCCACCCAGTTTTCTCCCAAGTGATGACCTGTCTTTTAGCTGAGCCACACCCTGGCTTAGTGTTCTGTTCACAGGACTTGAGAGAAAGTGTTTCCGTGGGTTTTTTTCATAGGTTTGACTTTCTCACTATAGTTCCCTGCTATGAGATATGGGAATATTACTTTGTCTTTTTGAGATTTTTGGATGTCTATTAATTTCAAGTACTTTCGTATAGGAAAAGCCTAAATACTTACAAGGGTATCTTTTGCTCTTAATTTTTTTAATTTACTGAATAGTTAGTAGCCTCATGCAGATTGACATTTTACAAAGTACCATGCAATGGCGACTTTTAGCAAAGGCCCCTCAGTGCCTTGGCTGAAAGGACCCATGGCCTTGATTATGTAGTAATGTTCATCATAGCCCATCATGATCACTAGAATGTACTCTAATGTCCTTTTTTTTTCATTTCTGTAGTGTATATCCATGTAATTGTTTTAATGTTTATCAACAACTTAAGATAAGGCATTGGGCTAAGCTGAAAAAACTAACTGTTGAGGATTTCATGGTGGTTTGTATATACTCAACACTTCCATCTATTTATGCATTCTGATACAGTTGCTATATACTGCATTACCAGCCACATTTTTTTTTACTGGTTTCCTTTTTTATTAATTTTTATTGAGACAAAGTCTCACTGTGTAGTGTCTTGGCTGGCCTCAAAAGCATGCCCTGTTTGAACCTTCCTAGGGATGGGTTATAGGATGTCACCATGCCTGGTTTCCAAGGTTTTGCTGCTGTTGTTTGTTTTTTAAGTATGTAATATTTTGCAGAAACAATAGCACAGACTTTGTGTGTGATTTGTATGTTCATTTCTATAAGACACATCAGGAACAGTCTAATTAGTTGGCTCAGTACAAGTTAAACAGCTGGATGGTTGTCTGCCTGTTTGAATCTGAGTTCAGTTGATAGGACGTTTTGTTCTCAGTAGACCCAGCTGCAGTTACTAGTTAGTATCATGGCCAAAAGGACAAGTGCCTCAGTTCTTAAGTAACGTTTCTTATGAAAGTTCAGACATAACAGCCAGGTTTTGATTGCAGTAGACTAGTTGAGAGATTTTTTATGATTGACTCAATTCCCCATAGCTTGTCGGAGGTTTCTTTCCCCCTTAAACATCAGCTTATAAATCAAATGATTTCTTTTAAAGGGACATTGCTTTTATCCTATCTGTACCCATGTGCTGTATCAGGCAATGTGATGCACTCACTTGAGAAATTTGGAAGAAAACCAAGAAACCAAAACAATCCCCAAATGTTAAAACTTTGGGGAGTCCATTTTGCCTTCTCTCACTCAAATGAACATGTTTGACCATTTCTGCAGGGCTTGGGTGGGGTGGCTTGTCAGGTTCTGCAGAAGTCTTGGTTGTGGCTACTGTGAGTTGCTAATATGTCTGAGTGAAGGGCGCAAGCTTCCCGGTGTCCCACACACCACCACATGCTTGAGATTGAACACAGAGCTCCTTCATCTTACAGGCTTGGCTGCACTTGTACTTCATACTACCCTCCAAATGCATCAGGAGGAAATCAACCATTTAAAAGAAAACTGTTTTAGTACTACATTGTTAAGGGAAGAAAAACATCTTAAGAGAAGTTCTAGTAGTGTGTGAGTTTCTACCGTTACTAATAGTGATCGTTTGTTTTCTAGAGATTTGATGATGTTCTTTTCAATATGTCAAATTCTGGGATAGAATTTTACAGTGTGGAAGAGTTATGTATTTCAGGTTATGTATTTCAGGTTTGATCTGTGGTTTCTGAAGTTCAGATTTTTCAACCTGTTACCTACTGGTGTGGTATAGAACCTTTTGCAATCACTTGTAATCTGTTTCCCTTAAACAGCAAATTCAAGTGGCTAAATGTGACACTTTGTTATTTGAAGATTAAGGAATAACAAAATATTCTCTACATAAACAAAAGTCTTAGTGGTCTTGAGTGATGTGTTGCAGCTCCTTTTCTGGTATCTTCCTCAAATGCTCAGCTCATTCTTCTAGAAATGGCTTTGTGTCTGCTGTTGGTCGCCCTGTGCCTTTGTCTCCCAGCTTGAGAACTGAACAGTTCAATGCTGTTGTGCTATGGGGATTTCACTTACTCTTAACTTCCCTCCACCATCTTTCTGTGAAAGATTTCACGGCAAGTTAAGCTACTCAAAGGAAGGAGACCAATTAGGCCGGTTCAGTTTCTGCTATATGTAAAGCAGATGCTTAATAAAATCAAGGATACAATTGAGGCTCTCTTCTCCACTATTTCAGTTGTAGCTAATATATTCCTGTAGAGACAGACTCAAGGCCTCTGACTGCTCACTTTCTAAAGGCTGTGGAAAGGCCATGGGGTAAGACACTCCCCACCCTCTGGCTAGAGCAAGGAGCAAGCTCACCCTGTGTCTTTCTTCCCCTGCAGGGATTGCTTTCTGAAATCCTCCGAAAGGAAGAGGACCCCAAGACTGCATCCCAGTCCCTGCTGGTAAACCTTCGGGCTATGCAGAATTTCTTACAGTTGCCAGAAGCCGAACGAGACCGGATATACCAGGATGAGAGGGAAAGGAGCTTGAACGCTGCCTCTGCCATGGGTCCTGCCCCGCTACTGAGCACTCCGCCCAGCCGTCCTCCCCAGGTGACCCCGCCTCTTCCCTGTCGTTCTTTCTGCTTGCCCTAAAAACATTTCATGATTACTCACAACAAGAAATCGGATAAATAGATACAGATTTTTTAAAGTTCCATAAATTTGCTTGAAATTTTCATCCCAAATCACTAATTTTGATGGGAAACAGTCCAGTTCTAATTAGGAAAAAGAAAACTGCCTTGTGTCACTCTAAGCCTTTAGGTTCTTGGTGGTTGAAGAAGTGACGTAGCTACCTGTACTGTTGTTATTACAGATGCATTCTGTTCACCTCAGAACAGAAATAATAAGGCCTGGTTACTGTCATTAGTTTGAGGACTGCCATTTGAATAGTAAATAAAAAATAAATAAGTAATTTCATTTATATTTATGCTTTCCAATACGGACTGCAGCTGGTACCAATTACATATCATCTCGTTTGTAATCTTTCATAATTAAGTTTAATACAATCCTTGAAGGCAGCTTTAAATGAGACTGATAAAGAATTCTGTCTGAATTCCCAGAAATGGGCACATTTTCATTTTCTTCAAAATGTTCCACTTTTTAGGAAGGAAAAAATGAATCTACCTTCCAGTTAACTTGATTGTGCATTGCTGTTTTAAATCAAGTCTTAAACTTACAACTACTTATAACTACTGTGAGAAGTCAAGAAAGGAACTCTCAGTGCAAACCATTAGATGGAAGTTCCGTAGCTTGGACTTAGAATCCATAAGCAAATGTGTTTTCTCCCATGTTTAGTCTGTGGAAGGTACAACCCGTACAGCTAGGATCAGCCTCCGAAGTTGTTTCAGAAGTTGAGTATGGAACGTAAATTCAGAGTATTCATGGAATATAATGTCATAATCATGTGTTGATTTCTTTTCATCAATAACCAACAAAAAGTCCATGTATTTCTAAGTACAGAAGTATAGGAAAAGCCCATCCAATGATAAGAAACGAAGCTGTTACAGAATTCTACACGTGAGGACCAGACACACTCCAGCTGTTTGTTGAGGTTCTTGAACTGCTGACAGAATTCTCTAAAGAAATTATTTCTAAAATCCGTTTTTAGTGAAAATCAATCTGTCTTAATGTCTGTAGGAGCAGGCTGTGAAGATAATTCTGTTCTTTGAGAAGGGTCACAGTGTTCATACATAAAGCTGCCCGGGTACTCATAGCTACTGTGTTGGTTGGTAATCTCATCTATAAAATAGTTCCTAAAATTCGGAGTTAGGAACTCTGTAAATATGTATATGACTTGTGTAGGTTATTATATGAAGAAGTCTAAGACTTTCAGTGTTCCCCACATCCTTTCTTTATACAATAACCATCCAAATGGGGATTTTACACTTGGGAGCATTAGCCTGCCCTTACCCTGTCTTGTTCTGAGGTGTTTAAAATACTTCTTTAATAACAATATGACTTTTAGCACTGACTGTCTTCTCTTTTCAATATGCCCAGTTATTTAATTTAGTGCTTAAACAGCTTTCATTTTGTAGAATTTGGGAAATTTTATTTTCTAAATATGGTTCTGATGATCGTGCTAATCCTTATTCATTGACTGTTATCTGAGCCAAAGTTGTATTAGTTCTTAAGTGATATTTCTTTTCATATTCTTAAGATACTATTCAATAACTTTTCTGTGTGTGTATTTATAAAGACACCATATGTCATGCTATATGGGGTAGAAAACATATGTAATTTACTTTATCCTAAGTTCCAGATTTCCTGGTTGAGACACCCATCACTGTATTTGTTCTCAAAGGGCATTAAGACTAACCAGGCTCATAGTTGGGGTGTTCAACTAGAGGTGAACATAGGAAGTGGGTAGGCACTGTAGCTCCTTAGTGAAATGCTTCCAGATTTCTCCCAGCGTGGTTTTTTTATTGGCTGTCTAACCAAATCCAGAGGTGAGTGTCTGGTACATGTAGTCTGTGTGTCTTATTTGTTCTTCTGTGAATCCATTTGCATTACTTAATGTTGTAACAGTGCTTGCTGCCAATTGGTTACGTTCTACCCTTTAAGCAACACTTTAAATTAAAAAAAAAAAAAAAGGATCTGTTTATCTCACTGCAAAATGAGTAGAGTTGGAGAAAGCGTGCTGTCGGGCTTGGGGAGTTAGAACTGTTCAGAGTCAGCAGTTGAAGTTCAAATGGAACCCCCAAGAGAGATTCATGTGCTCACTACAGGTAACTAAACTGTCTCTGTGGTGTCTTCCACAGAGACAGCCTGCAAAACTGTCTTCAGTTTTGTGCATTACCAGAGAAAAGCCTTTGTGAAATCACTATGCGTTTCATTTCCTGTAAAATAAAGAGATTTGAAACCTGTTTTGAGACAAATCTTGATTTGGGCTTGAACTCTGATTTTTCCTGAAAAACAAAACAGCAATCCCTCCAGAGGTGAAAAGCAGAGGTCCTTGGGGACTCATGGGACACCCTAGACACTTAAGCCTGGGAGACTGGAATCTCTTTCGCTCCTACAGTATGTAGCTCACATTTTGGGAAGATTTTAGTGTTCCTGGGGCATCCTAGACCAAGGTGCTAAACTATTGAGGGACTTAGATTTGAAGCCATCTTTAACATGAGACTTCCTTGGTAATCTCCAGAAAGATGTCCTACACATGCCCTTCTGGGAGACAGCCATGGTGCCCTGCCCCTAGTGCGACCTTTCTTGGGTAATCCAGTGGAGGCAACCATGATGGCCATTGTCCTCTGTCTGGAACTGAGTCAAACCTAATTGTCAGCAGCATACTTTTGTAAGTTTCATGCTGAAGTTAGAAAAGGGAAAAATACCTTCTGGTTGATGATGGCTCCCAGTTTTCTAAGAACCTTCACATGTATTAATTCATTGAATCCTGATACCAACCTTTTGCTAGGAGAAAAATGAAAAGGCTGAATGAAAGGTTTTAGTTAAAGTTTTCAAATCCTAATTAAATTTGTTGCATTTTCCTTTACCTCAAGACATCTCATCAAAATACACAATTTTTAGGAAAAGGATGAAAGTCAGAGAAAGTGGGAATTTGTGTTGTTAGATTAGGAGGAATGTTCGAAAATGTTGTCTGGATGAAGTAAATTAGATGTTTGACAAATGATCAATTTGGAATGACTTTTCACAATGATATTTCTGGTATTTTAAAGAACATTCACCTTCAAAACATTCATCATAAGAAAATACATCTTGGTCTGTCTTACAGACTTGTTTTCTGGTTATGGTGTGCAAAGTTGCTTAATGATTTTAATAGAGAGATTTTTATAAATAAAAATTAGTGATTATTTCCTGGGGAATGATTTGTCCTACAGAAAAGATAGGCTTAAACTAATGCCCTCTACCATAGGCATTTTCTTGTGTTATTTGTGTGTTTTTATACATGTTGACTTCTGGAGTTAATTTTACAATTTTTTTTCCCGAGACAAGGTTTCTCTGTGTAGTTTTGCGCCTTTACTGGAACTCACTTTGTAGACCAGGCTGGCCTCGAACTCACAGAGGGCGGTGGTGGCACACACCTTTAATCCCAGCACTTGGGAGGCAGAGCCAGGTGGATCTCTGTGAGTTCAAGGCTAGCCTGGGCTACCAAGTGAGTTCCAGGGAAGGCACAAAGCTACGCAGAGAAACCCTGCCTCCAATAACCAAAAAAAAAAAAAAAAAAAAGACTAATTTTACAATTTTAACTTCTATAAGAACTGTTTGACAAGTTGTGGTTTTTAAGTGAATTATACAGTTCTTTAAACTTCTTTTGCATCTCTTCCTGGGATTCTTTAGCTTCTTTCCAGGTAAGTGTGATGCTTCACAGAAATGTATTAGAAAATGTACCAAGTCCATATAAGGAAATATATGTACCTTGAGGACTTTGGCTTCAGGTCCAGTTATGGGCATGAACTGATCATGTGAGGAGAGTGTTTTTTGTGGATTCCTGAGAAACATTAACGCTTCCCGTTAATGGTCATCTTGTAAAGGTCTAGATTTGGAAAGTAATATTGTTCCTACATAAGAAAGACAGGTCTAAAAAGTTCAGGCATGACACTGAAGGCAGTATTATATAGGACTGTTGTCCATCACTCCTAATTATGCCCACAAAATTATTAAGAAGAGGAATAGGAATACCTTGGAAAATAAACTTAGATTAGATTGTTAATGTTAAATATAAAGCCATTAACTTCTAAAACTTGGAGCGCAATGAACTAGACTCAGCAAAGGGCTTCCAAAACGCAGGCCCAGCATGTCTTGGTCTCTAAGACGTTTTCTAAGCAGACCCTCAGAAGAACATATACCACGTAACTCCCTGGTCTTTGAGATGAGCACAGATTTCAGCAAACTCAAGTTCAGAACTCAGCCTGGATCAGGAGGCAAGTTACTTCACCTCTGTGTAACAATGTTTTCAGTTAAAGTATAGTAGTCATGGAGCCTACTGTGGGTCGATACATAGTTCAAAGGGTTAATATACATTCACACATAAACCAGACAATAAAGACCAGTTTCTATTCTCATAATTACTAAAAGAACACAAAACTTTAATTTTGCGTATGTAAGAACCATATGCTTGTAGGAGCTTCTCCCACACCAGGTACAGCGCATCCAGCCAACCAGACCAAAGTGTGTTAGTCTCATAAGCCTGAAAGTATGATGCATTTAGCAATCAGAGAAGAAGCAAACCAGGATTTTCATGTAAAGTGTGTGCGCTGCCGCACAATTCCGTGAAACCAAAAGCAGACCCCGGTGCTGCGGCCTGTCCCTACACGGGAGGGTAAATAGAGGCCCCCATTCTTAACTACTTCCCTGGCGCCACCGTAATAATGGAGTAGTGTGCCCTACCTTGATAAAAGCTATTCCGATTGCAACTGCATTTATTTCACCTCCTGTGCTATTTGTGGAGAAGAGTGAAGAGTAGTTTGTTTTGCCCGGGATGAACTACTTTATGAATTTTAATGGATGATATAATATTAAAAGCTAAACCAGGATTAAAGAAGATTTTTTTTTTTGTACTAAGCAAAAATAGTACTTAGTAGAGTGGAATAGAAAAGATTTTTGTTTCCATTTTTTACCTGGGGAAAAAATCAGCTTTCATATTTGAAAAGCTGGCCAAGTCAGTTCCCCTTAAGCAATAGCTTGTGTTTAGGAAAAAATGTGGTTCTAGAATTCTAATGGCTTATCTATGATAAGATGCATATCTGGGCCAGCAAGAAGAGCTTTGCTAAATACTTTTTCACTGAGTAATGCAGCCAGGTACTAACTGTGTATTTTTAAAGTTTCCTCCACGTTCTTTTCCTTCGTGCTTCTCCCCACCGCTCAACCCCCACCCCTACCCGAGGAAATGAGTATTTGGTTGGTTTTGTGATTTAGGATTCTTGCTTCTTGGTTCACATTGTGATTGCTTTATAGAAAACTTAAAGAAAATTTTAGAAACAGTATTACAGAAATTTAAACTCTCCAATTTAATTTTTACAAAAGAGTGAAAATTGTAAGACCAGGTGAAATCCCAAGTTTTCTAAAACCAGAGCTGTTCCTGTTGCTACACAGATTGCTACCGGGGAACTGTTTCTTCCAGTGTGATGGACTTCGGGCCCCCATTTCCATAACATTCAATTTTCAAAGCAATTGAAATGGCTTTTCTCTTTCATTTAAGCAGTGAGAAAAATAGGTATTAGAAGGGACCCCATGGGGTGATCAAATCTATCCCTCTGCCTCAGAGCAAGACCACCCCAGAGCGAAGTTTCAAATCTCACCAAAGCAACTTTGTAGGCAATTTATGGTAATGTGTTAACTCTTCTGGCTCCTAAAGTGCTGTTTAGCAGATTATGGCTTCAAAGCCCTGTGCGTTCCTAGTGGCCTCCAGTCTTAATGTACCCCTTGCTGGTCTAGACCCAGAGCTGGAAAAGGAGCCCAGAGATCCTTGCCACTCCCACTGAGAACAGGTGACAGTGTTATCCACCCTGCGGTGCTCACCCTTCCTGAGGTGCAGCCCGCCATTGCACCGCTGAGGCTTTGCTTCTGCTGCTGGGGTCTGGTGGAGGGCGTCTCCTTGTGTACCTTTCTCCTGGAAATAAGTCAGGGAAAAATGACTTTGCTTCCAGGCTAGAAGTTCGAAGGACTTAGAAGGTACATTTCATGGGACCTCTGTGTACTTTCAAGAACATAATCTTCAGGGGCAACCGCTGCTCATTTTCATGCAAAGTGGTTTTGGGAACAGTGAAATTAACATAGAACCTACAGGTTGACATTTATTATCTGAGTGTTTATCCTTACATGCTTTATTTTTCTGTTTGGTCTCCATAGAGGTCCCTAAGAGAGCTCTTTGTTTCCCTTTGCTGAGAAGCATGATCCTGCCTCCAGACTGAGATTTCAATTACATTTTCACCAGTTTCCTAGGAAAGATTCAGCTTATTTTTCAGAAGAAGATTTTCAAGACCGTTTCATATAACTGCATATAATAAAAATTAAAATTGGAATTAAAAATAATAGTATCAAATTTTTAAGGTTGAGACTTGGTTTTCAAACCCCCGGTCTTTGTTGGTTGAGGACATTTTTCTAGCCATCCCTGCTTATCTCCATTATCAAAGGCTTGGTACAAATTTTTGAGTGATTATACATTTTGAATATGTTTGTAGAGTCACTAAGGATATATTTTGTGTAACTTACAGAAATGTTCAATTACATTTTAAGAAACATTTTTTTCTTGTCTAGTTCTATAAGTCAGAAGGAAGTCATTCCATAGCAGAATGCCAGGAAAAGATGAAATAATCAGACAGAACAGCTTGGACATCACGTGTGAAAGGCAACCAGCATTTATAATAATTGAGCAAGGCTTTCTACCTGTTCATGGATGGATAGAAGATTTAAATATGCAGTTCTGTAAATGGCTTTATTATGGAAGATTTAAAAATGAAACATAAGAGGGAAAGGCATTTTAAAAAAGTCTGAAATTAAAGAGGCCATAGTATATAACAGCTATCAGTGAGGTAACTGTCTATTAGGCACTGGGCACCCAGCGAAGACACAGCACTGTGCATTATGACTTTAATTGTGAATTTCCTTTGTTAGGGCTGAAATGGGAGGTAATTGGGAGACAATTAGTTTAGTGTTTTCAGGTCCTTGAAGCTCCTCTCTTTTCCAGAAAACTTACTTTATGGCATTAATTTCCTGGTTGTCATCTGGCAGTTGCTGACACATTACAGATGCAATCACCTGTGACGGTGTGACTTCCTTAACTTAAGCAATCTGATCTCAGGGCAATAACGAATGTTGAATGACTGCACTGTTGATCACCTTGATCATAAAAGGAGTAACGGTGCCCAGCTCGGATACCCAGCCTGAGAAGCTTTGAATCAATTTGGCTAATGAAAAATGACAGCCATGTTCAAAATGTTTTGTAGGTGAAAACAGCTACTCTTGCCACTGAGAGGAATGGGAAACCAGAGAACAATACTATGAACATTAATGCCTCCATTTATGACGAGATTCAGCAGGAAATGAAGCGTGCTAAAGTGTCCCAAGCACTGTTTGCAAAGGTTGCTGCCACAAAAAGCCAGGTCAGTACCACTGTCGGGCCTTAGAACGTTTATCTGCGATGTCTGTGACAGTCAACGAAAGACGTGTCTGTGTTCAGTGAGTTGGCATTGCTGAGAGGCTTGGCCTCCAGTACTGTGTAGAGAGCTCTGTTGAGCAGTAGTGCTGGGATGTAGGTTGTAGACACTGGGTTTCCTGGACCCCCAGCAGCCACTCCTAGACCGAGAATTTCTCAGGGAGTCTCTGAGGCAGTTAATAGTTGCTTTATGAAGTGGACTATCCTGTGTACAGTTTACTAGGCTGGTGTTTCATAATAGAACATGTAGATTACTGTTGTTTCGTCATTCCTCAGATGACCTTCAATTTTATTTTAAAAGTATCATATAACTTCTTTTGCAACTAGTCTACCTACAGCTATTGGGTAGTTATTAAAGCACATACACCATTGCACACTAGTGATTTTAATTTTTCTGTAGTTGCACACAAGATAAATTGAACTATACCATACTCAGAAAACTTGTCCAACTCTGATAACTGCATAGTGTTAAACAGGAAGTCACAATGGCTAGATCATAGAGCCTATTACCAGACCTCTTATTTAAATAAGACTTTCATATGTTGATAATTGTTTACTAGAATCATCTCCTTGAACAAACTCACAGTTGTCTATTAGCCCTTTACCAGAGCCAGGAATACTTTTTAAAAGTTTAGAATACAAAACTCTTTCACAAAAGGACTTAGTAACACTCTGGTGGGACTTAGAGGTACACAAGGGCTTGGGTGAGATTTGAATAACTTGAAATGTTACACAATTCTATTTTCATAATCGTTAAATGCTCTTTTATATAACATCCTAATTGTTGTCGATTTCTGATAAAATATACAATTCCAGGAGTACTTAGAGCATGAAAATGTATAGCATAATACTTTTTGGCTTTTCCTAAAATTTTACTTTGTCTGTATTAATAATGGTACTTAATTGGGGTTTTACTTTAGGAACATGTTGCTCCTGTTTAAGTTGTAGGCCGGATGAATACTTAAGGGATATCTTGGAAATGTTATATAAAAATGATTAAACTCAAGCTGTGGACTGTAAAAAATTATAGCTTTATAGGCCGCATGCCTGCCTTACCCTTCAATCACTGTCAAAGTGATAATTTCTACAATAATATGTTTCTTTTATTGTGAGATTCTAAACATCAAGTACTGTTTAAACATTAAACTGAATTGTTTATGTTAGTGCTGTACTCAGCATGTCATACATCAGGCCACCGTAATCTCTCATGGAATGTAAAATTCTGTCATGAATCATGGCTTGCATATCGGAAATTACTGTAATTTTGATTGGAAATTACAGGGCTCTTGAAATGTTTCTAATTATGATAGAATGTTAGAACCGCTTCAAACCTGTGTGCTTCTTCAGATGTCTTCATTTACATGCCAAGACTACGCGTTAAGGAGAAATGTCCTGTCTCACTCTACCCACCCACCCGGCACATTCTTGTTTTGACTACTTAGTCTAATTATGATGAGGATCTCTTATTTAAATATATATTATTTTGCCTTTCTTTCTGATCCTGCACCCCCTACCCCACCCTGGCCTGTCCAATTACATAATAGACTGCCTTCCTACAAAGGCTAGGCTCTTTCTCCAAATCTCCAAAATGGAGGAGCTATGTACACATTATTATAATCACGTCAGCCATGAAACAAAACAAACAAAAATTAATATTGAAGCTTCTCATTGCATATCACTTAGTTGCCTGGCACCTGTCCTTTAACTCCATCTACTACTCCTGCCTCTTCTCATTTCCTTTCTGATAAGTGCCTAGCTACCCATGGCTTGACTCTTTCTTAAGTGGTAGCAGAGACTCCCCACCTTTGGGCTGAGTTACTGATTTAGGAACCACATTGGCTAATTGAGGTCTGTTTGATGTTCTGTGGCGTTTTAAGCATCCTTGTCATTTTTACCCAGTCTTGTGTTGAACCTCAAGTCTACATTTCCGTAATGTTGGTGAATAGCTTCTAAGTGTCTCCCATCTCCATGTCCTAAGATTACCCCAGACATATACTCTTCTTATTAGTGACTGAAGAAACCAAGGAGCCAGGTAGAGGCTGTAGGCCAAGTGGTCATCTGGCTCTCATCCCCTTGAATAACTATTCCCAATCCCTAATGTATTCTACTTCCTACAGCATTTTTGTAGATTTTTCCTGGTTATTCAGTTGAGGTGTTCTACTGCCCTCTTTGTGAAAACACATGCAGAGATATAGGGATTACCCAGGAGTGAGAGTCCAGAGACTGTGTATATCATGACAGAGGAAATCTGACCCACACAGGTGGCTGCTGAATTTAGGTTTTGTTCTTCTGCTCTCATGTTTCATGAAGGAAACAGAAAAGCTAACAAAGTCTTCAAAACTGACCTTTACATGGTAAAAATTTATAACTTCTCAGATAATCATTTACGTCTCAGACAAGTGATCTAGGGCTCATCAGAAGGAAATTACATTCCTCCAGGTGGGGTGTGTATAAAAAAATATGTGCATATACGCCTTTAAGTTACAGAAGTGCTAGACACAAATGGACAGCATTTATGATGTGCTCAGTAAGAGATTCAGTCCTCTCCATGCAGAAAAATCATTTATTTATCATGTATTTATGTGTTAGGAATACCTTCCATTTTAAAAGGAAAGCATGCTCCGTAGTGACTAATGCATGAAGTATTTTGTCTACAAGGAGCCTACCCTTGTTGAGTCTGCCTTTTAGCCAGTACTACATCATCTCATCTCTTTGATGAATAATAGAAATGAGATTGTTTTAACTCTGAAAGAAATGTCTAAATGAAATACGCAGGTGAAGACTGGGGTAGGCTACTCTTGTGCTTGATTAGAAAAGCCAGCTCCCGCAAACCTAGAAGATGGTGTTCCTTGAATATAATTCGAATAGCTACAAGAATACAGCTTCTATTTGGGACATTTAAATAAGCAGCAGTTTTTCCAGGTGAGTCAAATTGGAATTTTATCAAACATTTAGTCTGATAACATTCAAATTATTATGGGAGCAGGATTTGCTAATTTTACTGTTTAAAAAAAAGTTGATTTGGGTAATAACCATTACCATGTCAAGGCTCGGTTACTGTTCATTGGCTTCAGTGTTTTCATATGGGAGATGGAAGTGGAGTTTTTTTCTTAATAGTGGCAGATGTTAGAATCTAATTTTATTCCACAGAAACCCCCTGGAGAGCTCTGAGACTTCAGGTGTGTGTCCAGCAAGGGGACATTAACAGCACCATAGGCCTTGCCTTGTACATGTAATTTTTACATTGATTGTGTGTTTGTAGAGTGCAGCCTACAGACCCAGCTGCATGGGCAGATTCGGGGACTGCTGCAGTGTCTCTGTCCTCATCAGGAAATGATTCCTCTTGCTTGCTTCACAGGTCAGGGTAGTTCTGGGTACAGCAGGGAGCCAGTGCCGTTACATTTGACCAGACATGCTTGCCGTGTGATCTTTTTCAATCTCCGCAGGGAGAGAACGTTGGCCACGGTGGGTTGGGCTGAATTAATAAGTAGAGTTTATTTTCATTTTTTTTATTTTTTAAACACACACAAAAGAGGATTTTTACTTAAAAATAGCATGACTTGTAGACTAGAGCAGACAATTGAAAGACACTTTTGTTGCTTCTGTCAGTTTCAGAGACTCTTGTCTGTGAAATGCAGGGCTGCAGTATGCACGAGACGGACTCAGGTCTTCAGTATTCCTTGGGTTCAAAAGAAATCAAGCATCGCTCTGACTTGTAGGTTTGGGTGGTTGAGATGTGTTAAATGCAATCAAACTGTCACACATCATTGGGGTAGAACTAGGCTAAAACATGTAGTGTATAAAAGAATTTATAGTAACAACAGCAGAAGTAAAACCAGGGAATCTGTGATGCTGTATCCTGCCATGTTAGGGAAGGCACCGCCAGTTTTATTCAAGAAGATGCGCTGGGTAGAAAGAAGCTGGGTGCTAATTCATTCTTTTAGAATGTTCACGTCACTGACTTGGCTGTGGCACGATTCACCTGTGCAGACTCTTATTTAAGGCAGTCAGGGGGCCCCACAGCCGTGTGAGTCACAGTTTCTCTTCTGTGAGATTCCTGTGCTGTGTCCTCAGAGCCCATCTCCTACATGTGCGGAGGCTGTTGGGTGGGGGCTGTTCCTTTGCAAGCTGTACCCCGTCCTTCCCTGCTGGCTAGAGCCAGACTGGTCATTGGCAGCTCAGGGGTCATTGATGAGAACAAAGGAGAAGGAAGCGCGAGCCTACACAGCCCCTCCCTGCAGCTCCCATCTCACTCCTGCGAGCTCAGGTTTGGCACATGGGACAAAGCCCGGTGCTAGATTCTCGGGTGTTGTTGGTAACAACTGGTGAAAATGTCATGGGTGTTAGCACTGGGAATCCATATTGTTCTACTTTTCCAGAACATTGATCTCTCTGTCCATTGCTAGTTGAATACTAAACCAGCCTGTTGGAACCACTGGCTTTAATACCAACTACTCTTGTCATATGGTGGGCAGCCCGTCACTGCATGCCAGATGATGGTTTTCAGGACTAGTTAAATTTGTGGATCTGAGTAGGATTAGATTTCTATGCTCTGAAACAAGCACATGTTTTGGTAAGTCTAAGGTTTGATCTCCCAGGTCCAGCGTTATTAAGTGCACACTTGCCCATTTTTTGGCTAAAAAGTACTATAAAAAGAAATTTTACCCCTTAAGTACTAAGTCAAACAAAAGACCTTTGGCTCTCTTGTTACTATTTTTATCTTCTTTTTTTTTTTTTTTTTTTTTTTTTTTTTGGTTTTCCAGCCCAGGCTGGCCTCGAACTCACAGAGATCCACCTGGCTCTGCCTCCCAAGTGCTGGGATTAAAGGCGTGCGCCACCACCGCCCGGCTACTATTTTTAAATGATTTAAAAAATCTCACTTTTTAACCTCTAAAGTTGATTAACTGAAAGTCATAAATATATTATTATTATTTTCTTTTGCAATCA